TTGAACTACACATATGCGTATGTATCAATTAGTAATTTAGAGTATTATTCTATTCCATAATTCGCATCGAGTGGGAAGAATTAATTTTAAATGGTTTATTTTTTATTTTAAGGTTCTATATTAAAATAATAACTATCATTCATCACATTGTTTGAACTGAACTAATATATGATTTCATGGCATATTTGAAGGTGCAAAAGAACAAAGCGTATCAAAATATTTTCATTTCATGTTTTTAAGTTCAACATATTGCATATGAATAGAGATGAGGTATACAGAGAGAGACCTCTCAACAATTCATAATTGAGATTCATGCAGCTGTTGTTGAGTACTTGCACTGTAGACTCGTTTGTCCACTTGCTATAGTGACATTTTTGTTTTCAAATTATTTATCTTGTTATGATAATATATCATTTAAATTTTTTTTTATAAAAAAATTAGTGTTTAAATTTTTAATAATTATTCTTTATTAAGAAAAAATATAATGATAACTTATATTTTTATTTAAGAGTAATTTAGTCTTATTATCATTTTTTAAAACATTAACTTTTATTAATCTTTGTGTAATGTATACTGTAAACAAAATACTTATTAATCAATATTCGTTAATTAATCCGATTGCTGCTGCGACCTATAATGCTGTCAAAGAGTTTTCCTTTAATTGAGAAATTTTTAAAAATTAAACATTTAACTTGCGTATTATATATATTTAAATATTAATTTATATATATTTTAATGAAAATTATAAGAAATTATCTCTCTAGATAGATATAGATTGAGTTTCGATATTTCACTTTAATTAGTTTCAAATTTCTACCCATTCTAATTTCACATCGACTAGAATTAGATAATTAAATAATATATAAGTAAAAAATAACTCTTACCTTACAAGCCAGTTTTGTAGGATTGAGTTATGCTTAAACTCACTATTCTAAGATGGTATCAGAGTTATCCTAAATTCTAAAAAATGGGTCACCCACCATTAATACATGCTCATGCACCTATCATTTATCCACGTACTAAGCTTAATAGTGCTAGATGTGAGGGAGGTGTATTGGGAAAAAACTCAAGTCTCTATTTCAAAACATATTTAGTATTAGAGTTAATCACCTATATATATACTTTCAGTGTAAAGTTTTTTTTATACTGACAACCAATCATATCTTTTAATAGTGCCTTTTTTATTTTTAATTTGATTAAATAAAAAATGAATTACTAAAAGATATGATTAATTATCAATATAAAAAAAATTTACACTGACAATGTATAAATAATTAACTCTTAATATTATATGCCAACTTATTTTTCGAAAGACTAGTTTTAAACCTTAAGATTTGATATGATTTAGATTTGATATTTATCCATTAAGTTATCAATCTTATCAATCAACATAATAGATTTGATATTCATTTTAGATATGTGCAAGGGGTGACGTTGTTGGAGAAATCATTAATAGTAGTATAAATTTGTAAGTCATTTTTAACTAATCCTCGTAGATTAAATTTTGTTTAGATTTAGTAGATAATATTAAATTCATCAAAATCATCTAACCTTTTTTATATTATTATTATTATTATTATTTAATAAATATATTTCATTAATTTCTATCCCCACTTTAATTGTCTTTTTTAATATTGTTTAAATTGTACTTTTGATTCTTTTATTTATTTTACAAATATGTAACTTTAGTTATCATATATTAAAATAAAAATATTTAGTCTTTCTATTTTTATAAATAAAAATTTTCCAGTCTATTACTAATTTGATATTTGTTGATAATTAAATTTTAACATTATTTGATAATATGTCACTACTTAAGTGTTATAATGTTTAATAACATGACTTATAAACATAAAAATTAAAATAACTTACAAAAAAAATTTATTTATAGTTATGTTAATGAGTGATTGGTATTTTATTTTATTAATAAATTTTATTTATAATATTTTTTTATTTTTTTTCCTCAAATATTATGTCACTAAATGTTATATCATTTAAGTATAGTTAAATATTATAATTTAACAATTGATAAATACCAATTTGATGAGATAACTAAAATTTTATATTTTTAAAATTAAAGGGATCAAATATTTTTATTTTAATATAAGAGAACCAAAATTATAAAAATAAAAATAGAGAAACTAAAAGTACAATTTAACTTTCAATATTTCATTAATTTCTCTTGTTTAATTACGTGCTTTTATTTTTAATTTTAAAATATTAGCGATTTATTTTTTTTTTAGACAAATATTGTTATAGGGTCACAACTATTAAAAATGAAAAATATTTTTAAAAATACAAAATATAATTAAACATAATTTACTATGGATTAAGAGTAAATTTTAAATAAACTATTCAAAATTTTATAATTTTTTGAAACTTATTTACATAAATAATCAAATTTTAAGATATGACTTATATAAAATTTAAGAGAAGTTTTTTTAAAAGGTATTATCTATATAATCAACATCTATGTATAAGACACAAACAACTATATTATGCGAAAGTGTTTTTAATGATTTATTTTCAATAAGAGAATTTTTAGAAATTTATTTAACATCATATCTAATTTAAATTTTTTATTTATAAATTAAATTTTAATATTTTTAAATTATCAATAAATAAAATAATCTTAT